CCTATTGAACATCTCTGGGGAGACCTGGAAATGCCTGTCCACTAATGTTCCCCACCCAACCTGTTTGACTTTGGGAGGATTTGCAAAGAAGAATGGCAGAAAATCCCCCAATCCAGGTGTGCAAAGCTTGTTGCATCATGCCAAAAAAGACTCAAGGCTGTAATTACTGCCAAAGGTGCTTCAACAAAGTACTGAGTAAAGGGTCTGAATACTTAAGTACATATGATATTTCAGTTTTTTCTTTTTAATAAATTTACAGACATTTCTAAAATTCTGTTTTCACTTTGTCATTATAGGGTACTGATTGTAGACTAATGAGGAAAAAAAATGAATTTGAACAATTGTAGTATCGGGCTGCAACATAACAAAATTGAAAAAAGTGAAGGGGGTCTGAATACTTTCCAAATGCACTGTATATGCAAGTTTGTGAATGTATCACCTGCATGCACCTTACGTGATGAGGCACCTATTTCTGTTTGACAGTAAGAGTCTGATCCTACAGTTTAGAATTGGAATTAAGCATCATTATACTGTCTGTGCTGAGTCTCAGTGCAAAAGAGAGTGGTTTGATTGATAGAGAAGTTTTGCAGAGTTCCTCCAAGCAGTCTGATGAATGAAGAACATTCAAGATTGGACTTTATGACCTTGTAAGATGGCAATCTGTATTGTTTGACTTCCTTTAAAATTAGATAATGGGAATTGGTTGTTTGGAGAAGAGAATTCTAGATTTACTGCTTCTAAATCCTGCCTTAATAGTACCATTACTCTAACATAAGGTACTGAACATGACCTCTCTGGTAGTTAATACAAAATTAATTTAGCACTGGTAATAGGCCCATGTTCCACACTGCACCTGAAGGCAGCAGGCTAGCTAAGAAGTTACAGACCGAGACCCAGGGCACGCATATAGCTCTATTCTCCAACACTTCTTCACTGCTTCCTGATGAAATCTCACCCATCTCCCTTTATCTAATGGTAGGGGTGGTCTGGAACTTTTGGCACAAGTAGCTTATCAAGTTAGAGATGTTTCTTTTTCTCTAGGGACAGTATTTGCCTAAACTGTTTTCATAGTATTTCTTTATCTCTTGAGTGGCATCTACTTTGACTTTCCAAAGTTTAGCTAAAAGCTGATCTTGTTTTTTCTTTCCTAGCCTAAGGGCATTTTCATACAGCCACCAGTTTCACACCCCTGCCCCTAAATACGCAAAAACATTTTCAAATTTCCTCACTCACTCCCCCTGATGCAACCAGTGCTCCCTCCAGCTGACCAACAGCAGGGCACAAAAACCAGCAGCCAGTTGGCATTCCAACTCCTCCTCTTCTTCCTTGCAAGAGGAGGAAAACTGGTCACAATGAGAGGGAGCTACAAAACTCTTCGATGTGAAGCATCTCGTGTCACCATGATACCTTTTCATTATGGCAGCTTCTAGTTGCCAGGTGCAAACACCTGATTATTGCATTAGGCAATGCAGAAGTGTGTTTCAGTTTGCATTAATGACTAGGGCTTGATTCCACAACAGATAACAGGTGTATGGCTATAATTCATTCCAGTTTCCAGGACTAAGCAGTAACTTGGCAGTTCTTGCTCATTCCAAATTCCTTAGAGGAATTGAAGAGAGGCTCAGAATCTTTGGGGACAGAGAAAAGCTTTGCTGGCATATCGTTCTCTTATTGAATCTAACTATTCCCTTACAACAGATTTTTTTTTTTTCTCTCATCTGGATACAGCATTGTACTTAAAAATGGGCAAAGAAAGGTTTTCTTTTTTTTCCTCAGCTAGCTAAGATTTCTAGGTTAATAGTGGGGCAATGTTCTCACACCTTCAATTGCTTTGGAGAAGTAAATGTTTAGGAAAGCTCTGGGGGGAGGGGTTTACCACTGCCTATGACATCATATAAGGAGAAGATGCAAAGTTTTCTCTTCTGGGTTTGCAATAGGGGAGCTGTACAGAAACCCTGTCTTGTCCCAAAATTAAAAGATTACATAGCTTGGTCCAAATACAACATTTTCTGAAGGTCTTCATTTTATCCTGAAGTTGGATGAACCCTATGGCTGAAAAATATAACCACTGTGAGTGATGCTGTGTGGCAAAGTATATACATTTAATTAATCTGTGTCTTTGAAGATTTTTGTAGCCCAACCATCCACGTAATTTATTTGCTTATGTTAACCAATCCCTTTTCCAGCCTGCTGGAATTTCACATTGACCTCATATATACTATATATATTGCTATTACGATCACTTGACCAGAATCCAAAATTCAACAAAGGATGGAACAAAATAAAACAGTTTGTGACTAAGTCATTGATATGATCAAGGTTGTTTGGTTTCCCGACAATGGAATGGAATTTTCACTGTTCACAGAAACGGAATCATACTGGTCTGATAATAACCACTCTACATAAAACAAATCAGAATTGCCTGGGTACTTTGTCAAATGGGGAGTGATAATCTTGCATCATAAAAAATACAATATAGTCAGGCATGGACTCCCATCTAGCTCACTGGCTTCTTGTTCCATCCTTTTCCTTAGGTTCCACCCCATTTTCCCAGACCTGCCTCCCATTCCCCAGGACCAGGACCCATCTACTTACAATAGATCAAAAGGCAAAAGGTCTTACTGACTGTATTCACACAAAACAAACAAGTCACAATTGGCTAGTTTGTTGTTTGAACTTAGTCCTTCTGGTTTATATACTAAGGTTTACAGTTTAGTGGATTGCATGAACCTAGAATCTAGACAAGTATGGCTGATTCAATAATGTGATTAACAACAATGAACTCAGCAATTATCTCCTGTCAGCAGCTAACTAGACTTAAAAATTTTCCCCACCTTGAGGCAAGTATTTAAATAGTAAGTGGAAGCTGTTTTAAAAGCTGCATATGAGATATTTGGGGGGG